TTACAAGAGCTCAAAACACTTTTGAAAGATGTATGATTTGATAAAAATGCTAAATGTACCGATTGCCCTAGAAATCTTGCTTCTGAAGCTTTCTGAAGTCTCAAACACTCGACAAAAGCGAATATCTTTACCAGCTGTGACCATCATGGATTTCTAAATCTTTTTGTAATGTTTTTCACGAGCCCATATGTTTTATCTGTACTTTGGAGATGCTCTGCTATACCAATGCAAAATTTGGTGTTATTTTGTCAACTGTGGATTTTCTTAAAATTTTATGTATGGTAGCAAAAAATGAGAAAGGGGGGGGGGGTCGTATCTGCGCCTAATCTAAATTTCTCCGGAGCCATAGAAGCTTGTTAGCTGCAAACTTGCTGTAATACGAGGCCATCCCTCTAGTTTTTATCATAAGAATTTCAGGTTGTTTTATCACTTCTTTGGTAAGTTACAAAATTTTAAGCTCAAAAATCCCAGTTTTTGCTTTTTAGGATCGCATCTAAATTTGCGAGAGCCTGATCTAGATTTTTTCGAGCTAACTGCTCCTCAAGGGCTGAAACTTTTTCTATGGATAATCTGGGCACTATACTACAGAAGCTGTTTAATGCAGCCTCTCAGTCTTTTCCTGGTCTTAGTTACGAATTTTCAAACTACCGTGCTCATGGATGTTTTTAACATCGTTCTGAATGGCGCTAAAGCGGTTTTTTTTCGCAGGAAAAACTGTGCACGAGATAGAAAGTAAACTTCTTAGTCGAAAGCATCCTTTGTAGTTCAAGAATGCAGTTTTCTTCTCCGTGCAAAAATTTGTGTCGCATACGGGAACCGAATTTGCTGGTCTGAATTATGCCTGAAAATTCAAAAGTAACTTGCAGAATCTCAAACATTATTGAAAGTGTGTATATGTGCTAGATATGCTGGACGCACCCATTCGCCTAGAAATTCTGCTATCGAAACCTCACTGAAGTTCTCACGCAGGTGTTTTTTGAGATTGACATCCGCTTATGCAGGTTACCGCGAGGAATGTGGGCAGTGGAGGTATGGAGGGTAGATGGGGGGGGGGGGGGGTAGATGGGGCGGGATACGGTTGGGTTTCTTCGAGGGGGGTCGTAATTGGGGGTCCCGGATCGCATCAACACGCTTGACCCTGCTGGGAAGTAGTTTTCGTAAGTCTCAACGCACAGCAGAGTTCGCGCGCGCTAGGCCGCGCTGGGTTGAGCCATACTTCGCGGGGAAGCGGCGTACGCGGCGTACGTAGCGTACGCTCGGTATATTTCATCATAGGAGCATACGCGGCGTACGCTGCGTATGTCGCGTACGCCGCGCAGTCTGGCCCACCCCGCTGCTGCTAGTTGCCGCGTGCGCGACGTCGCATAAGCGATGCCGTTGAACAGCATGATTACATGATCAGTTCTCAATGCAGGCGTAACGATATAGCACCAAATTAGGTAAGCGAACGAAGAGAGTAGTAGAAACAAAGTAAGAGATATTATGAAAAACTTATGTGAATGGGAGGAATAATAAGCATTTTTTCCAAAAATTTTGCGAAACTGGTAAATGAAGAATTCAAATGGCACGTTTGCAGCGCACAGATGACCATACGGTATGAAACTTGGTAAGTACATGAACACGGGCCTGCAGGGCCTATCTTAGAAGTTTTATTGAAAAATTATGTGAATGAAGGTTGTGGCAAGCTTTTTTCTGAAAATTTCCCCCTATCAAGAGAATGGAAAAATGGCTCGTTTGCAGCGCAGAAAAAATGAAATCGAGGCTTGGTGTGTATACGCGCAGTAGGGCTAAGGAACAATGTATGAAAAATCATGAAAGATTATTGTGATTGAAGAGCGTGCCCAACTTTTTTCCAAATTAGGTGGGCAATTGCCCACCTAATGCCCACCTGAGGTGGGCAAAACTTTCAATTCATATGATTTTTTCAAAATTTTTACATAAATCTGTTTTGGTTCCGAAACTCCTCCTCTTGTCCTTGTTAGAGCCCAAAATCGCATCAGCAGCCTAGCTTTTCAAGATGAAAAGTCAAAGCGCCCAAGTCAATTGATACGCGCGGGAACGGCGTCTCTCATTCCTATGACTGCGTTACTTTGATATTTTCTCATTCCATCATTTTTCTTGCTTATTTTTCTTTCTGTTTTCCATTTTGATACAGCTGAGGAGTTATTTGAGGAATTTGAGCATGGGCGCTTTTGAGCGCTTTTAGGCGGAGTGTGGCCGGTACTCTCGTTGCACAAGCACACAGCATCATTTCTGGGCTCAAGGGGGTATTCGTAAAAATTATTGGGATCAAAGGAGAGTTTGTTTTAGAAAACCCCGTTTGCCCACTTCGTGCCGGGCCCTGTTCTGACCAATCAGCGGGAAACTTCGCACACAGATGTTTTCGACACCGGCCCATCTCGTAAACTACTTTTCGCGGTCGAATTCGCAGAATTCGCACTCCTTCTATCGAATCATCGATTTTAAAGAAAAATTAACGTTATCAGTTACTATCATACCACTTCCAAATTTTTACGTAAACAATAGCAGCACAACTTATTTTCATTCAAAGAAGACAGAAATGCTGTAACCCTTTTGCTCTTTGATGAGCCAGTTGAACCCCGTGGTGCGAGCGAAGCCGGGCATGTCAGCTAGTATGTTATAATAAAGGGGAAGGGTCGGGGGGGGGGGGGGACTGCAGAAGCTGCTTTGCGCACTCGTAGGATGTCACTGGCTTGTGAATGGCTTTGTCGGCCTAAAAGGGTAGACCTGCTGCTCAAGCTAAGCTGTGCCGCGACAAGTTAGATGCGTCTAAAACCTAACAGTTGCTCAAGAAGAAGATTGCCCTGAGGCAGCTGACCTTTGGCTAATTACTGCCTGCCAGCAGGAGGCGCTCCCTCTCCTATTCCTCTTCCATAATTGCAGGCGGCGTATTAGGCCTCCAAAGGCTCACCGCTTCTTCTCCAGGCGCGCCCATTTGAAAAAAATCTTCACTTCGCGCCTACCCTGCATCTACGTCGCACCTATCTCGCACATTCCTGCAATAGTCACCCTCCCTAAGAACAATCGCCTTATCTTTCTTAGCATTACTTACAGGGAAGCGATTTCAACTTAAAGTGGAGTCTTGGAAAGAACCGCATATCGCTAGATTCGTCTTGATGAGCTGATTTCAAATCTGCCTCCCATATCTGCCGTAACGCTCTTTGGGCAAAGTTATGAGCGTTTAGATATCCAAATTTGGCAGACAATCAATTTCGCAGCCTCAAGAGTTAGTAGTTTGAAAACACCTTTTTTGCGTTTCCAGTAAAAGTGAGCATTCCTTGAATTCAGTGGACTCAACATCTTGTTTGTCATGCACTTTCAAGCTGGATTTTTATATTATGTATCAAAACGCGGTGGCTTTATTTTTAACCGCAAGTGAAGTTGAAGCCACGGGGCTTTGATGCATAATGTGCCTAAACCAACTTGGAAATGCATGACAGGCATGATATTGAGTCCACTGATGCCAACGAATGCTCACTTTTACCGGAAAAGCAGAAAAGTATTTTCAACTACTGATTCTTGGGGATGTGAAATTGAATGTTTGCCAAATTTGGACATTTAAGCGCTCATAACTTTGTCCAGAAAACGGCATCGCAGATATGGAAGGTAGATTTGGAATCAGCTCATCAAGACGAATCTAAAAAATGCGGTTCGTTGCGGTTCGCCGCCTTAAGTTGGGATCGTTCCCTGGCTAGAAAGCAGCACACAAGCGACGAGTAAATGATTTCCAAAAAATGGAAGTGAAAACAGACATTGAAATAAGCAAATTAATATGAAAAGTGCTTGAGTTCCTGAGCAATAAGATGTGGTAGGTGAAATTAGGGCATTAAACGCTAACTGATTATATCGATTTACAACGCTTTCTTGAAAAAACTAGGCATGAAATAATACAGATGAAAAGATCTGTGATATTTTTTCAGAGAAGATCGCACAAAATAGAAATTCGAACAAACGTTGCAATAGGGAAAAACCACACAAGGATTTTAAGTGGTAAATTTTGCTTAAAATTTAATTTTGTTGAGTAACATATCCATTTGAAAAGAGTCAGTGCTCATAAGATTGATTGTAGATCAAATAGCCAGTAAGATGCGACAAAAAGATGGCTACAACTTGTCTTTCGGAGGTATACGTTTTCAAAATATCTGTAACTCAATCCCTCGCCTACGAGAACATAATCAGCTTTTATCCTATTTTCACCTTCACCTCTTCAAAGGCCACGATCGGAAACTTTTTTACAGCATTTTCATTTTTTTAAGAATCATTTACCTGTCGCTTATGTGCTGTCCTTCCTAATCATGCCACGAGAAAAGAGGCGATTATCCGGGGGGGGGGGGGAGGAGGAACTAATGAGTGTGTGAGATAGGTGCGACATAGGCGCGACGTAGGCGCGAAGTGAAATTACCTCCCACGAGCGCGCCTGAAAAAGAAGAGGCGAGCCTTTGGAGGATCCTGCGCGCCCTCCATTTTTGTATATAACCTGTGCAGTAGATGTCAAAGATCAAACCAGAGCTGCATATAAGGCAGGAAGAAACTTTATCCTAACTTGGAGGTTCAGGGAAGAAAGCTTGTCGCAGCATCTAGAGTTCCGAGAGTGCTAACAGCTATACTGCGGAAGTTCCACGTTCAGACAAATGTGCTACTTGCTTACCTGATATGCAGCGAGAGTCACATTAGTCTTACTCTGACAATCAGATCGTGCTGAAGAGAATAAGAGATAACGGCGAAGGTCACTGCTGGCCTAAGCCATCTTCATCCCAAGCACCTTTCAGGATAGCTGCACCAAGTTAGAAACTTATAAACATCATGGAATTCAACGAGTTGAGTGCTGGTTTTGATCAGCTAACGACCTGACTTTGTACATACCGTCCTTATTGCCTTTCTTTTGCAAGGGTTGTTACAAAGATGTTTACAAAAATGCTAAAGCTATTACACAAGTTCTTATACCAGTGATACCGAGAACAGTAAGTTGCATCTCAATTATGTTCCGTTCACGTTGCCTTAGCGGTCGTGGTTTTGGCCAAAGGAGGAGAAGAAGCTCGCTAAGCAATTATGGTGAATTCGCTTTCAAAGCAGCGCATAAACGCAAGTGTATTCAGAACAAATGCGCACTGCTGCCGTTCTGCCGAACACTTCTCAGTGGACGAAAGTGGATTTGCTCAAACTTTACATGTGCTCCATAATAATCTTGCAGTGCATCGACATTTCAAACGGGGTATGTGTCCACTGCTGCAAATTTTTGAATATTTACCTTAATTTTGAACTTGCTTCGACTACTTTCGGCCTTGTGGAAATCCTTTGAGTCAAAACACTCAAAGTGAAAGGCGCGCCAGTTGAAATTTTTCCGTCATTCCTTACTCCAGTATTTGAAAGCGATACGAAAGATTTCCAGGATAAAGTTGTAAAGAACATTATAGGCCGTCCGCGCAGGACGCGGAGAGTGCACAAGGTGTGTATTGTGCGTTACTCCTCTTTCCTCGTGCACTCTCGCCGCCTGTTTTTCTCTGCGCTTCTTCCAGTCGTGAACTGCCTTCAATGTACGCAACAGCGTTGCTCTCCGTGCGCTGCGCGGACGGCCTATACTTTGTTATGAGTGTAAGCAAGGTTACTTTTTTCGCTTTTGAAACTAAGTTAACCATGTTTGAAAGTCAGGCTTTTTAAACGTTGAGAGACACTAGAAAATGCATTAGATGATTATTTGTAGAGCTCATAGAGGTAATTTGACGTGCTGATTACGGAGATTAAATGATACCCATTTCATAGAGCAAGCTTCCTCGGTGGCCTTGTGATATGTCAAGGTAAAAGATGAAGATGTGAACTTTAGTTGGAACTTCAATGGTGGAATCAACTAATATGATATTTACGAACGTCATTCCTTCAGTACTGATGAGGCTGTGATATCCACAGGACTAGCGCTTTTCCTCTTCACCTTAGTCGTAGTATTTCCCAACTGAACGAACTGATTCTTAATTACGACCTACCTCTCTCAATCTTACCCCCAATACGACCCTCCAGCTCGGGCACGCTCGCCCCACGCTCAACCTCCTACCGATAAGCAAGCTTGAACAGCCCTTAACTCATCTGTTAACAAAGGAATGGGTATTTAAAGCTTTCAGAAGTTTCGGCATCCTATGCACAGGACCCAAAAACTGAGATTTCAAAATCGAATATTGATTTATTTATTTATTTTTAAGTTATATGGGCAAGAGCATGTGAGCATGCACCACAAAGAAACAAATCCATCACCGAAAGAGTTGAAACAATGACAAAGAGCATAGCAACAAAAACAGTAACCATCAATCGAAAGAACAACATAGTCAAAAGAACAACAATTGTGAAGAACAGTTTAACGATGGAAGCAGACAATTCTCAAAAATAGCTCTAAGTTAGTAATTTAGTTGAAAAAAACTTCATTCAGATGAATTATTAAAGCGCAACAGTGGATAGAAAGGCCTAATGCTAGAAACAATGCATGGGTAAACTCCAACCATTTGCGCGTATAGTAGCTTTTGGAATCGCAGATTTGTGCAGAAGTATATCGAAAGCATCACTAAATTCGAGATATACAAGTCAGTGGCCTTAAAGGCAGTGTCCGGGCAAAAACTCGATTTTGAGATTTTGTGCTTACCCGGACCTATTCGCTATGCTGAACCCGAAAATCCACATTGCAGAGCGCGAAAACGACGAGAAAGGGCTCTAACACTGAAGGGAAATCAGCAAATGGGCGGGGTCTTCCCCACTGTCAATTTACGCTCCCAGCTTCGGGGGCGATCTTTTCGATTCCGGTTTCAAGTCATTCGTTTGCGCTTGATCGGTAGTGATGTCAGGGCGGCTAGCGGAATCGAGAAAATCGCTCCGGGAGCTGGGAGCGTGAAATCGCGCTGGGGAAAGCCCCGCCCACCTGCTGATTTCCCTCCTGTGTTAGAGCCCTTTTTCGCCGTTTTCGCGCTTTCCAATGTGGATTTTCGGATTCAGCATGGCGAATAGGCCCGTATAAGCATAAAATCTCAAAATCGAGTTTTTGCCCGGACACTGCCTTTAACCTCATCTAATAAGGAAAGCTACCTAACTCAGCTCCGCCTTTTGGTAAAAGTCGTACATATTCTGAATCAGCTTCACACGCTGATTTCAAATATGCTAATCCTAGCTGCCACGCACCAGTCGTTTAACCTTCGTGTTGATTCCGCTAGATTCCGCTAAACACATCAAAGTCTCCAATAGCCAAGTGCGAATGCGTAACTTGAAATTGACACCGAGAAAATCGCTCCGAAAGCTGGGACCGTGAATTCACAGGTGGGAAGAACCGGCCCACTTTTGATTTCACTCCTGCGTTAGAGCCCTTTTTCGCCGTTTTCGCGCTCTCCGGTGCAGATTTCGGATTCAGCATAGCGAATAGGCCCGGATAAGCACAAAATCTCAAAATCGACTTTTTGCCCGGACACTACCTTTAAAGGCAGTGTCCGGGCAAAATGTCGATATCGAGATTTTGTGCTTCCTATTCCCTATGCTGAATCCGAATATCCACATTGGAAAGCGCGAAAACGGCGAAAAAGGGCTCTAACGCAGGAGTGAAATCAAAAGTGGGCGGGGTCTTCCCCAGGGTGAATTCACGGTCCCAGCTTTCGGAGCGATCTTTTCAATCCCACTAACCGCCCTAACATCTCAACGGACCAAGTGCGAATGCACGATCTGAAGTCGGAAGCGAAAAGATCGCTCCGGGAGCTGGGACCATGAATTCACCCTGGGGAAGACCTCGCCCACTTTTGATTTCCCTCCTGCGTTAGAGCCTTTTTTCGCTGTTTGCGCGCTTTCCAGTGTGGATTTTCGGAGATTCAGCGTAGCGAATAGGCCCGGGTAAGCACAAAATCTCAAAATCGAGTTTTTGCCCGGACAATGCCTTTAAGGGTGAAAAATTGTATTTTTGGATAACGTCTTTCTTAAGTGCACAACTATGTACTTACTATTTTGTATTTGTGCTAGGTCCCTGAAGTATGGGCTTGAGAAACAGTGATCCAATTTGAAAATGCAACTAGATAGGCAGCTTACCACACACGATAGAAGCACTTGCTTTTTGTGAAACATCCATAGAAAGAAGCCGTTTTCCTTGAGTTTTTGTCAATCACTTGCTTCGCGAAGCAAGTTATAGATTTTGCGCATTGAATCGAAGGGATTCCCGTGCCGAAATAAGATTTGGATTGGGTCACTTGGCACGCTCTTCGCAGCCATTTGTCACTATAGATACGAAGAAGACAGAGTATGTGGCAGCAGTAATGTTACTGTGCCAGCCGGTTTCTTGGTGGATTGATGAAGTATATCCACCAAGAAACATGGTTGGCACAACAATATTATTGACATATGCAAGAAAATGACCAGTGCGAAGGTTAGCAAGCATTTCAACTTCTTTAGACACAGATTACTTCAAGTTCGAAAAATCAATGTCATTTACTACAAAAATATCAACAAAATTATCGCGAGTTTTGGGCTTTAGAGATTTCCGATCCCAATGTCAATTTTTTATTAGTATCCGTATAGCGCAAAAACGTGAAAAATAAGGAGGAGAAAACTTTAAAAGTGATCTCAAGAACGTGCGGTGAAACACAAAGGAAGACTGCTCTCAAAAATGTTGGAAAAAAGAGAATGTAGCACTACGAACACTGCATGATATGGACAACTTGTCATCGGTATAGTATGTATCATGATCTAAGGATGAGCGTTTACCCACAGAGTCCTGTGGAGCCTGAGCGGTCGTAGATCCATTTATGTGTTTGAAGGTACTGAGCTGATGTTCATGAAGCGAGGACGTCGGCCTCGTTGGACATTACGAAAGACAAATATATCTAATCTAGTGATTTCCTATTTGACAAGTAATAAACGAACGCAATTCAAGGGTTACTATGTTGTCGCTAGTTATAAGTTATAAGTGGTCCGAAAGGTGGACTTTTCAACTCCCATTCCTAATTCTTCGAAACGGCGTATATGTTAGTCAATAACTAAGGTTTCTAACTAGACATCTGTCAAGCAGTTATAAAAAAAGCATCAAACGTAAAGATATTGCCGCAGACTACAGATAACGAGGAGGAATGAACACATAGGGATGGTTAAGCAACAGATGAGATGAGGGATAAGTAATTCAAGATCGAAGTCAAGCAGGAGCCAGGCCCGGCTCACTCCGAATCTTCTTTGTGTGGGCGAGGAGTCTCACTTTGCGCGGCAAGGGAAGATGAACCAATCGCGCAGATATTCGCGATTTACGCTGTCCCCATTAAAGGTTGATGATAAGGAATCGTAGGGCGACAAAAGGTAAAAACAGAGAGAAGGAAGCCAAAGGAGAGCTCAAGTGGGTTCTGGTAAAAGGCATGTGAGATGCCCTCCAAATGTTTCAAAAGGGAAGAGGGTAATGTGCACTCTGTGATATAGAAACTGGTCAACGGTTTAGTACATCATCAACAACAGTCGGGGGGGGGGGGTGCTACATAGACGTCAATCACCTTTTATTTACGGCCAGGAATGACAATTTGACCTACTAGAATCGAGTGAGCCTTGAGCGATCCTAGATGTGCTTGTAAATGCGGTTGAATATGAGCTCTCCATCAAGAGGTACGTATCAGTTCTTTCGTGAAGCAGTAAAATTCCAAAGTGATATGGTTTGAGATTGCAACCGCAGATGTTCTCCTAAAAGAAGGATAATTGACAATAGAAGTCCTATCAAAGCGACGCTGAAGCACGGAAACGCGAAAGGAAGTCATTAAGTCAAGCAGGAAGAACGAAAAGAGCATGTTTCGAATTGAGGGCAAGCTGCAAATCAGACGGCGTCGCTGAATTGGCCGCATATCTCTTTGAAGATTCCGAACGCTTACATTTTCCTGGAAGATCAGCAGATTGACGAAAATTCAACCAAAGTTGAACACTTCCCAAATCGGCAGAACCCAAGTGCTTCGCTCGATAACACCCACCTCCTCCCTCCCCCTCGCCTAATCTGGCCGTTCCAATGGTTAACAGTCGCTCGCGGGATCCCAACAAAATTTGGATTCTTAGCGGAGGTTCCGAGTGTTTGAGCAACTGATGAAATCAAAGCTGCTAAGCTGAGACTGGTTGCACTCGCTATAAGCTGAGACTGGTTGCACTCGCTACCGTCAGCATGTAGGTTATTGTGGAATTGTATGAGAAAGCAGCACAAGACAGTACAAAATCTCGCTTCAATTATCACGTGACCGCCGTCTGAGGGACTCTTATAGAAGAACGCAGTTTCGGTGTAGTTTTTTACGGATCTTATGACAGCAAAATGCTTGAACAATAGCTCAGTTTTATTCTGCGTCGCTTACGACGGAGAATAAAATTGAGCTACAGTGCTGGCCATAGCTATAAAGCCACCTTGAAATTACTGCAATTTGCTCTCTCTTGCTCAAAATTGTGTAAAAACCCACTATTCTGTGCGCAAACTGACGTCATATCATTGACCAGAACGGCTCCCGAATTGATTTTGGCCGGAGAAAAATTGAAAAATTTGAAAAAAGGAATTCCCAAGGCTGGTCACAGCTATAAAGCCACCTCTCATTTCTAATCAGTACCATGTTGTTTGAAGGTGAAATTTCTTGTACATATACGTTATCAAAATATAAAACAGTTACCACACTTGGGAGCAGCCGCCTTTTCAAAAAGAGGATCCTGCATTTTATGCTTCAAAATGAGTAAAAAAGTTATAATATTTCAAAAACTGCCTTTTCACCGAATTCTCAAGCATTTGTTTGACTTGAATGAAGGTCCTAGGCTTCCCCGAGCCTTCGCAATAAATATGGTGAAAAGCGCAATAGTCAAATGGCGTAGTCGCTGATACTGATAAACGAGCCCCAACCTCACCTCAAGGTAGACGAGTTTTCAAACCGCAGAAATTGAGTTCTAATGCCCGAAAAGCTCTGTCGCGTGCTCAGCACGTCGCCTGTACAACGGATTGTGCGCATAGCTTGAACATCATAGCAGCTCTCAGGACTTTGGTTTCGTCTTAAAGCGGATTGTGCGCATAGCTTGAACATCATAGCAGCTCTCAGGACTTTGGTTTTGTCTTAAACGCCTTTTTTCCAAAAATGAGTGGTGCATCTGCCCGATCGTGACACATTCTGACCTCTCGATCGAGCGGAAAACCGCTCAAAATTTCAAAATTTTAGTATTCCTGACAGTTTTGTAAGATTTGACTTGAAGAGGAGTTCAAAGCAGTAAAATTTGAAGTCATGTGAAATACACTGCGCACAACCGAACTGCAGACAAGGCGTTTCAAGTTTAATGCTACAAATACGTCTCTGTGAAAAGCCTGACAGCTTCTGCATGAGCACGTCACCATGCAAACAAGGTGTCAACTTCCAACCGAAAATTTTCGCGCGTCAGAAATGAGATTTGCTTTTCAAAAGTGCTCTGCACCTAGGTAAGATTGAGCTTCGTTCATCAACACCAGCGACTACGCCATGTTGACTCGCTTTTCACCATACTCATTGCAAAGGCTCGGCGAAGCCTGGGACTTTCATTTGAGTCGAACAAACGCTTGGGAATTCGGTGAGAAGGCAGTTTTCAACATTATAACTTTTTATACATTTTGAAGCAGAAAATGCAGGATGAATCTTCTTTTTGAAAAGGCGACTGCTTCCAAGTGTGGTAACTGTTTTATATTTTGATATTGTATATGTACAAGAAATTTAACCTTCGAAAAACGTAGTACCGATTGGAAATGAGAGGTGGCTTTATAGCTGTGACCAGCCTTGGGAACCCCTTTTCAAAATTTTCAAATTTCTCTCTGGCTAAAATCAATGAAGGGAGCCGTTTTGGTCAATGATATGAAGTTAGTTTGCACACAGAACAGTGTTTTTCAGACAATTTCGAACAAGAGAGAGCAATTTACAGTAATTTTTAAGGTGGCTTTATAGCTACGGCCAGCACTGTATTACTCAAGTAATGTAATAGTAACATAATGAGACATTGTGCACCTTCGTCACATAGTGCACACCTTCTTTGAGGAGAAGGTAACATGAGACACGGTCCCATAAGTGCTGCAATTTACAATAGTAGCACGTAGCTGGATTCCATGATAACCCCCCAATCCTAAAGTATGGAAACTCCTACGCACGTTGGGAACGTGTTGTGCTTTGGAAAAATTGCAGCAACATGGCGCGATTTACCAGTAAAACGGGGCAAATCCTTACTGCACAGTTTTCATGAAGACCGCTCTAGTGCATTCAATGTGACTGCTTAGCACTTTAACACGTTGACGACGAGCCATTTTTTGAAGGTCTGTCCCTGTGGACGAACCGTTTCCGGGCATTTTCACAGCAGGCTGCACATGTATATGCATGCATCTATGCGTGAGATACACAAATGCAAGTGGGCGGGGCAGCTCCGCCCACTTTTGGCAAGCCCCGCCCACTTCTCAAAAATGCTGGAAATTGCTCAAAATCAACGAATTCGCGCAAATTCCGGCATTTTTGAAAAGTGGGCGGAGCTTGACACTGAGGGGGTGGAGCCTGCATTTCGGGGAGCGGGGTCAAAACTAAGATTATTTGAGGTTCCCCTATCATCTATGAGCTTTTCTATGTGATTTGAGAACGAAGGAAGTTTTTTGTAGAGGGCAATGGAGTGGGCGGAGTTTGCCAAAAAGGGGGCGGGGCCAACATGAAATACTTTCGAGCCTAACTTAATTATATGAACACAAATTGGGACCATTGTGCACATTAAAACTGATGTTTAGGGTGTCGCGCACCATTGCGCGACATCGTCCACAGGGACAGACTGCCTGTCGCGCACCATTGCGCGACACCGTCGTCAACGTGTTAACAAATCCAAATAAATGAGAGTTGAATTATAGAGGATCCTGAAATCGTTCACATCGATTCCGGCACTTTACTTTTCCTATCGCGTTTTTGTACACGAAAACAAACTACCACTAGTTTTTTGCAGTATCACCGTAAGTTTAGCACGTTCAGCTTTGAAGGCTATCTAGGAACTCATCTTTTTAGACACCACTTTCCCTTTACTGGCTGTTAGAAGCCATAGCAACGTTTGTCACTCTCGATCTAGCTGACATCGTTTTGTAAGTTTAAATGTTTGGTGTCTAAGAATTTGTTGATTGCATTTCTTTTCAGATATGTTGCTTTGAAAGTTTGCTTGATCGAAGTCCTGCGTGTGAAAATCGCAGAAAAATACAAATCCGATCACGAGCCAACAGAAAAAGTAGTTTCTAGCGTTCGTAAGGCTCATCCTTGCAGTGAAATGGTCATGGATGTAACACAAAGTGAAGCTACCGAGAGAGTTTGATGAGGAATTCCATTCTATATTTCTTAGATATTTCAAAGCCATTCTTTAGGATAAATCGACAATGTATCACACGATTCAACCACCTTCGCACAATTCGTTGAAGACTGTAACAAGTACCGTATCAATGGAAATCAGCACTGAGTCGATCAGTCGATCGGCTACGTATAGTCCGAGTTCTAATGATCACGTTGAAACGAGAAGTCTGCTACAGTCAATCTCTACTTGCCGTACACAAGGGGATTCGTCTGATAGTAAAGTGCTCCAAAGTGCCAAACCAAATGATCGCGGCGATTGGCATGTGAAGCACATAGAAAGATTTTCTGCATCTACATTTACTAGTGGAGAAGCTCGATATGGAAAGGTATGAGTCATGCGTAGGTGTGTACAGGGCCCGGCATAGATGGTCTGAGGTCACTGGACTTCGTTTTTGGGGTCATAATCAATGGGGATATCGTTTTTGCAAGGTCCTTTGAGCCCCGGAAAAATCTACGAGTTTTACGAGTTGAACGTGTTCTTTCGCAAGCAATTTTTAAACGCAAGACTCAAACAAACAAATGACTTGTTCACAGCGCACAAACAATCACTAGACACTAAATCTGGGCTATGTGTATACAGTATTACTCCAAACTACATTATGTAAAAAGTTACAAATTTACTAGTCCGATTACCCGTTCCCAAATTTGTTGGTTTTAGACTAACACCGAACAACTGGGTTGGTTCGGAGCATAAATATCGGAGAGTCCACTTAAGTTTTGAACGTTTTTGATTTGGACGATTAGAACGCTTGAAAGTCGATCATATAATGAGGACAGCGAATCAAAGCACTACCTCTTTTTGAGTCAGAAATATTATACTACGCATTAATAGATTTCGCGCTCCAATCACATGCGGCGTACTTTGAACTATGTGGCAATGCATCGCCAATCTGTTCAAGCTACAGATTTCGTTGGCCTAAGAGGTTTTCGACGTACTGAACACCAGAATGGCACCTACTCAATAACAGAGCCTTTAATGAACTCGAAATATGTTTTTTTCGCTTTTTTGTTGTTTAGTTGATTAAGTAAGCGTGTTCCTATTCCTACTATTTTGACACTAAAGAATACTTGGTAAAATTTCACCAAGTCGTGGGGGACTTCGTATCTGAAAATGCTCAACGCGAGCCGGACCCTGACCCACGCAATGTCACCTCTGCAAGCAAGATGCGTTTCAGAAAAGTGTGCTGTTCAGTAGACCTTTATCCCTCAGACTTTATTGGTAATCCTGAGGTTGTGTAACTAATTAACTAATTCCAGCTATTTTGAACTAGAATGCAATGATTTCTTTCCATATCATATAGTATAAGTTACTATTAATGCAGCTTTCTTCAGATGGAATTGCAAGAGGATTGCGACGGTGTGGCTGATGATGGTGATCTTATCACGAATCCTATGTTCAAGGTTGGATCTTTCTTTTTGTCTCAGAAAACATTTTATAAGATTCAATAATGAAAGGGTCAGCGCTTCAACACAAAAAAATAAGTAAGACAACATCTGCTTCTTGAGCATTTCTCGATTAATTTTCATGTATTGCGCAGCATACTACTTGGTAAGCATCACCAGAATGCTCGGATTCCTTTATACGTTCGACAGTACCCAGAACTTTGCAGAAAATATAAATATGTTTGAATAGGTTTTGCGCACTCATACATATATGGGAAAAAAGACAAGAAAGTGTAAAGTTGAGGTAAAAACATGGGGTACGTTCAGGTCGAGTTTGCGAAACTTGAATTCAACAGAAGCAAAGTGGTAACTATGTCAAACGTATCAGAAAAAAAATTGATGTGGAAGATCAGGGTAGGATTATGAAAGGATTCAGTTGCTGCAAAGAATTTTACAGTCAAACTTGTGGAAATCATTATCCGCACTTCCAACGGCAGGAGTGTTGGGAGCTGGAGAGCACGATCAAATCGAAATCTCAGTTGCCAACGGTTCCGACAAAAGCGGAAAAGTGACATTAACTTGATAGTTTTATTTGAAGTTCTCACAAAAAGGCATTTTCAGGTAGAAATAGCTTATGTCTACGTCGATGACGCGACCGAGCAGTTCAACACCAGAACCTATTCTGCATCTCAGAAGAAGGCTCATTGTCTGAACGTAGTGTTTCATTAGAAATTTATTGTATATTGAATTGAATCCGCTTACTCCACATGATATCGTTGAATATTCCATCAAATTCTTCGTGCTTGCTACTGCTTATAAATCGTGTGTTCGAGCAAGTTCTCAATTTTCTGAGGCAGTACGACATGTTTTTTTCGCAGTATTTTTCTGCCTAAACGAAAATGAAATGGTTAGCGAGGCTTTGGTAAAACAAATACCTACAGTGCGTTGTGTAACTGACTACTGAATTTTCAAAAGAAGACAAATGCGGATCTGGAAAGTGTGAGAACCTTTTCTCCATGCAATCGTCTTCATTTTGCAGGAAAAGACTGTTCCTCAAGATAAAGGTAAGAAAGTCTGCGTGATTTCCAGGTCTTTCTGATAAATTACATAATCCAAGATGTGAATATATTCAAGCACTTTGCAAACCTGGTTCGAAAATTCCGCAATTTCACCCGGGCGGTAGTAATCTACCCTACCTGGTGGCCTCAAAGATACCGGCAAGTAGGCACACATCGCGGCGAAGTTGCCATCTTCGGCGGCAGCTGTGGGTTTTAATAATCTTATACAACCTTAATGCGCAATCATTTCGCACATAAAATTTTGATGACGCAGACAGTCGCAAAACTGTTCACTCGAGCGCGATCGAACGTGCGAGGGTGCAGTTGCGTTAACTTCAACTGCCACCACGTTGACCACTCAACCATTCGCTCAGTCATTGTCGTTTGCACCAGCAATAGGAGGAACGCACTGGTAAGTGGCCGCTTATAAGAGGGTTCGATACATTGCATGAGAGACTTTGACCTGAAAGAACAGCTGATTGATATGAGCGAAAGAGGGGCGAAATCAGTGCAAACGAGATTAGAAGGGATGCCAAAAAAGATGGTGTACTTTATGGTTCTAAGGCATTACTAAATTTTTTTCTCTGTAAGAAAATCGTCGTTTTAGAAACGAAAAACTCATATAATGAGAAAAATGGTAGTTTTTTGAGGGAGTGAAGAACTTTTTGATTTTTTCGCCTGACTTAAATTGTGTGACATCGCCGCAATTCGCAAACTCACAGACGCCGTCGGCAAAGGTGCCAGGACCTCGACGTGGTAGGGGCACGTCGAGATGGCGGCAGCTTCCTCTCTTAAAAGAGCACGCTATTTCTCGTACTCTCTGACCTGCCGGCAGCTGCCACCTCGCGGATTTCGACGAGCTGCCGGCAGGTTGCAAGCAACTGACCTCGCGAAGTTGCTGGCAGCTACTCCTGCGCTTCCAGATATTTTCCTGCAGGAGGATTTCTGGAACCGCAAATTTCGATGGAGGTTTCTATAGGGTCGAGGTGGCATCTTCGTCGAGAAAATTTTTTAAAATGGCCTGAGAGGCCTAAATTTGGGGTTTCAGTTTTTGGCCACCGCGCGGGAAGGTGCCAGCGACCTGCCGACGAGACCTGCCACCATGTCGGGGGATTACCACCGGCCCCGTTGACGGATCTCGCAACGCATCCATATCAAATCTTCCAACTCTCTATTAGAAATGTGTAGAAAGTGTAACAATTTTTGAGCCGTTCTTTTTGCTCTCAAGTGATTTGAGTAACGCCCTAGTGCTTGCGAAATTTGGTAGTGATTTCGAAATATCCCGAAATTAGCAGTTCGCAGTTGCACTGGGGAGAAAAATTGTTATTTTGATAACAAAAATGTTGCCGAGCGCAATAGGTGCGATCAGAAAACGTGGCACAGGGACTACAGTCGTTTATTGACTCAGAATTATGATGTAGACAAAGCCCGATGTTCTTGTCATTATTTCCGTAGTTTTTTGTTGGAATGTGGAATTTTAAATCATAGTGTAGATCTAATCCAGCAACAACAGTTATGACTAGCCACTTTTTGAGAATTTTTGCGATTCACCTGGGATATAAATTCCCTTGTTTAGCCAGATAATGCCACTGATCTATCATAAGTGTAGAATTTTGATGGAGATATAATGCTCCACACAACACTTAATTTGGAATCGATACTACTCTTGATGGTATAGCTACGGTCCAAGATGATAGCGCTCAAACGCTGCGGTGCATCGTTGATGATTATGCTCGCTGGTGTCACTCCTTAAATGCAGAAGGAGACCGTTCCAAATCAAACTTATCGTAGCCTGACTTTTAGGGCCTCTCCTACATGTAGAATTGGAAAACCAGAGCTTCTTTTATCTTTGAGATTTATCAGGAGGCAAACTGAGGGACAGTACTTTCTCGCAACCTATACTTTGTCAGATTTGTACGGTTTCATCGATTTTTATCGCTTTTATCAATCTCTTTCGCAGATTACTAAAGGTGCAAACGCACAAAACTGTTGGGATTAAAACGATTCTATTGGTTCGTATAGAGTGCAAAAATGGATTATACAGATACGAATTGCATGATTGTGCGCTTTGGTCGCACCTTCAAATCTAATTCGTGCTCTTATCTTAGCTTTGAGCTAGTAAGATTAGCGGAGTACGTTTTTCCTTTACATATGATACATTTAAAATTTTATTTTATTATTTATTGTCTTTATTTTATTAATTTTTTGTTTAAGTTTTTATTCGCAGAATTTTTGAAGTATTGTTTTCACTGATGTCTCGTTCAGAATCTTCCAAGCCTTTCGACACCACAGTTTATGATTAATTTCATGAAAAAGCTGGAACAACAATATCCCATATCATTTGCACGGCAATTGATATTGGAAAACAATCTTACAATTGGATTTTGAGCTTGCTTACTAAATCAAGTATCATGTAGTTTGAACATATTTAGTAGGCCGCGTGGAAGAAACGTGATGCACATTATCTAAGACAGGACCGCGAAAAGTCCATAACTCTGGCTACAAATATATTTCCGTCTACTTTCTTTTCTATGTGCAAGCTTCATGGTTTTCATTTCAGTTCGTGTAAGCGCAACGGTTCGGAAAGAGAAACAGTCGTAGTCCCGGAATGAAATCGGAGGAGGTTTTCTCGTAGCTCTACTACTATTCTAGGGATGGCGAACATCGGGGAGGGTTGGGGGAGAGGAGGGGAGGGGGCAGTAACAAAACATTTTGGAACCAGTTTCTTCCTCAAAAGATTTGGTCGTTCTGTGTCGCAGTGATCGCATCAGAATCATCCGACCTCACAAGTTTGTAGGAACCTGTTGGTGGATTTTTAATTCCAGTACAGAGCTGCAACCAATCAAATACTATCAAATTTCAAAGTTTGTACAGACAGACTGAAGATGGACAGAATATCAGTAACACTTTATTCACGCCAGCATTAATAATTACCTCCGCCAAAGAGCTGAAGTTGGCATAAGTGAACCATTGGCTTATAGCCAAGATCGTAGCTTAAGATGAATATCAGTTCGAAGATAGTAGGAAAAGGTGAAGAGTTGCGAGGCGCCAAGCGCTCATATGATTAACCTTATATAATTAACCGCATAAAAACTCTTTTCAGGCCAGTTCATTAGTAATGGAGATCTGCTCTTCCTTCCGGTCATATTTGAATCTGCTGAGTATTCAAAGTGTTTACAAAGGGCGTTGGAAGTCAGACTTTTTACGCTAACGGTCGGAAAGTAATGACAAATCCTTTTGCATGAGCCCTCAAGGGAGCCATAGAAAAATCCAGAAACGTTGTTCTACTTAACAAACTGTTAGACTGCGATTTGCGGAAGCTAAATGTAAGGACTCGTCAAACACACTGAGCTACAATTTGCATAGAAAATTGCCCGCGCTTAGCGTCGAAAACGTGTGGTGGCTGGTAACACTATTTCAGAAGCGCTATAAGCTTCTAGCCGACGATATTGAGCACATATTTGACACATATTTTTATAGATTGTTGAATCCACTTTCATTTGAAACGTACTCTGCAAAGTTGAAAACGATACAAGAATTTGATGGAAAAACTCTAGAAGGAAGGTGAACGGGTACAGGCTGTATCATCCAGCATCGCTCTTCAAGATGAGGCTACGCACGGCGTCGCACTCATCGGAAATGGTAATGGGGCGCGGAAATTATCCTATGGAAACTTGCTATCCAACTCAGTTTACTTATTTAGCTTGTTTCTCTGTTCATCTGGCTAGAACACTTCCCTAAACGTCTGTTGGGCTTTTTTCTAGTTATTGTATGTGAGCGTATTTAGGTTCTTTTTCGTATTGAATGACGTGGAATCACTTCGCTATTTCCTTCTTTCTACCTGCTGCCGGTAAATCAGATGCTGCATAAAGTTCTTTTTGAGCACTTGCCATTTGTCCATAACTTAATACAACCAAAAAACAATAAAAAACAGAAAGCACGATAAAATATAAAATATACTCTGCAAGATAACTCGCTTCGCGCTTCATTACCATTGGGACGCGCGTGCGTAGGATCTCCAAGCTCTGCGACCTATGCTAAATAGTACAGCCTATATATCTCCAGTGATAACAGCTCGCTCATATGTAATAAGAACACGGTCTGTGCAATCAGCTTTTACATAGCCTGTAACCACATTCGGAAAGATTCAAAAAGTACGAGTATTTGTCTAAGATCCAGTGCAAATAACGTAGAAAACGCAGCTGTTTTGTTTGGTATCGTGTATCGGACAAGATTATGTGTCGTGTGTATCTACTCAGACGGCAAGTTCCATAATCATTCATTCACAATCAAACAACAAGTACGTACTATTGACACCGGTATACGCACACCTTGTCATATGACTCTTTAGTTTCATCGGGAATCGAACAAACTACAACAATATGCATGAGTTGTGGGGGGGGGGGAGAGGCTGCGTCGAGCAACTCTAAGACGATAACGTGATTAATATTGACGGTAGAAGAGGCAATGAGTTCTACGAGGACGGGTGCCAATGTGTTAACGTGATATATAGATTTGATTACTTGAATCTTCTCTCAAGGCACTCTAACTGGTGTACTTTGAATAACAAGAGCGGCATCACAGCCAGAATCAAACAGAACTAATCGATAGCTATGATAAACATATACATACATCATATATATAGCAAACTCTGCACGCATCTGGGCTATATACAACACGTATAACGCATCGAATGCGAATAGGTGCGCTCGCCGCAGAATCGGGCGACAGCGCGACGCCGACCGCTGGCTGCCGGCGTCGTCGCGTCGCGGCGCCTTCGGAAGCGGCTCGCAAAGGCAACGGATAAGGCGATCGCTCTGCGAGGACGGGAGGTGAGTGAGAGCGGTACGAACCGTACCAACCGGGTTCAACGGAGGAAGACTGGACGAGAGCGATAGATCACAGAAGGAGGAGGCAGATATCAGGCGGCACTCAGCGGACGTCATTGCGTTCGCTCCAGCAGCGGTTCCGACAGTGTGTCGTCGTGCTTGAGCACTTCATAGATTGACTCAGCCTTCTCGAGCCGTTCCAGAAGTGGCAGGATGTCCAACAGCTCGACGTCGGACGGATCGTCCCACCACGTTGGAACGGGGATCTGCAACTATGTAATCGTTATCCTCGAATTGTGCATTCCTCACTCCTTTCACACTCAAGCTGAGATAAGATTGCCAAAATTTCAGTGAATTACTTGGTGTAGTCATAAACTCCATTTCTACTGATCAATGCTTTTTGAAGACCAGCCACTAAGTGGATAAAAGGGATATGAACGCATTCGAGCTTTCTCTCAGGTTCATACTTTTCACACCTTCGCCGACGAGAGGATGGGAGACTCACCGCATTCTCTGGATGAAACGCGTAGCTAGCTGGTGAATTATCGATAATTAAGACTTTGCTAAGGTCTCTGCCAAGTCTAGCAAGGTCCTGGAATTAGTCACTTTAACATGAATTTGAAATAACTTGTATGATTTGACTACCTTCACATAATTTCCTTTGTGGTACACACAAGCCTCCCTAAACAATCGAGATCGGAACACACCACGCTTGTCGAGCAAGTCGGCGACTGGATCGGCGTACTAAAAAGATTGTTTTGAATTTGACTGTCAACACTGTAAGCAATAAAGTGGGCACTATCTATGGACCAACTCAAAATTCCTTACCTTGGCCAGACTAGCTGTAAATAGTACACATTCATAGCGATCCCCGATTCTAGCGAGGAATTCGTCCACATATGGCCGTTTCAATACATACACCTGATGCACAATACCGTCGATCTCCACCGGAATCACAAAGTCCGGATTTTTTACCGGCTGAAACATACAATCAAAAATTGGTACTCATTATTTTCTAGGAAATGGCTTTATCAAAAAGCTGATGCTTACCTTGAAAGAGGAATGGACCAGCGTCTCATCGAGGTCGATGATAAGGCACTTTTTATTGGCGTCTGAAGGTCGAACTGGAGGTAGTAGGAACTTCTCATTGGAAGCCTAAGAATGAGAAAATAAGGTAAAATAAAATAAGACATATATAAGATAAAAAGTATAACAACTGGCATGACCCTGACATTCCTTTCAGAATTTCACTTGTCCTCTAAGAGGAATTGCAAGTTTATAAACTTTTTCGGGAAGCAAAACTCACATTGTTTCTCCTAGTATATCCCAGCAAATCTTTCTTCCTAATCTCGTCAGCGGTCGGTGTACGACCAGGACGAAGAACAAGATTCCTTATGTATATCGATGGATCTTCTCTCATCGCGTATTCTTCGATGAATGTGCGTTTCGTACGCATGTTTGCAGTGATTAGTGGTAGGAAACCGGTGCAAGAATGAATACGAAGATTGATAGATCTGTCAAGACAAACTTGTAATCTTGATTGGGTAAAAACGAAGAATGATAGACTGATGGCGACTGAACACGGATAAAGACTGCTAGGAAATAAGCAATGGAACGCCTCAGGCTGTCGTCCACTAATCGCATGGTAGAAAAAAGATGCGGAGGATGGCTTACGTTTTGCGTCACAGTAAAATATGACGAGGATCACAGACGCATAAATAACCAAGTCATTTTCAAGCCTGAGACACATTCTTTTCCTAGGTACCGATAGCTTTAGCAGATTGAAGAATTCATTCTCAATGGCTTCTAACGAGGGCAGTGCAGAACGAAAATGGAATAAACAACAGTTCAGCTGCATGTTTCGTCTACGCCTTCAAAACACGCGGTACAAGTAATCAGATCTGATGTTGTTCGTTGCCAAGGGACGCAGTAAGTCTTTTGCTAGTGTTTATAGCACTTATAAACGTGAACTCATGGGGGAAGCGAACCATTGAAGAACTCGCTGAGGTTATATCTAGAAGAGCTTGGAGGAGGCAAAGCATGCAAAATACTATATAATTCATTAGCATGTAAAAAAAACGCTGGCAAAACTTCTACTCCCTTCAGAGCTGATTGAGCAAGTTGAGAGAAATTTCCACCATTTCGCACAAAAGGCTTGAGCCTATAATCTAGTCATTTCATATGTATCATTCTATCCATTCTGTGACTAGCACATGAGTACGCTTTGCATCTGTCAAAACAAGCTTGAACGTGTAACTGACAAGTTTATACTTGTGCCCTTCCTAATTTAGGATTATTTGCTACTAGGAAACAGGAGAAAACAAGATCAAGCTTGTTCAGTCGATGTGTGTGAAGCAGTTTAGAGTGCTTTAATCTGATTATGAGAATAGATGGAGTAGGTGCAACTGCACACCCTGCACACATTACGCGTTCTCTTCTAGATGTCGTTGAACATGAAAATGGATCCCTTCCGACTTTGCGCTTCCACCATCTATTGTTTTTATTTCACCTCGGTGTCGAGAGTAATATTAGATAAAGATTACCACAAATACGTATGCTAGGCGCATAACGATCCAGAAAAGGACGCGCAATAGGTGCAGGGTGCACTAATGCACAAGGAAGATGACTGCACTTTACATCTGACCAAATCTGAGGATGAGAAATGATGACTGAATGCAAGAAAGCGTGAAGCAATTAGAATAAACATGCACAACATTAGGTCAAGGAGAGTGTGGACCGGTTGACATTGCCTGACATTGATGACAAATATTGAGCGATAGACGTTCTCAGGGCTATATCGAGAAATGTCTGACAGATATTGCTCTTTGCGTGGTCTTTAAAAGGATGTGATTCATCAAAATGACTGCAGATAAAGGCCTAAAGCGGCTCAAAACTAGCCTTCACAAGAAATTTAAACTGTATGGCGCAGCAAAATTTACTGCATCTTTTTGCAAGTGTACAGTACAAATGCATTTTTGAAAGTAACCTGTCATCGCGAGTAGACATAGAGGACGACTGAATTTGCTGTGCTTCGTCTCGTCGAATATAAATGAGTGTTTACACTTTACAAAAACGCGGACTAGTGGAAGAAGGTAGAGAAGAATGCCGACAGAAAAGTGACTAAGCGAGGTTGGAGACGGGATGGAGGCTAGAGCTCTTGCCAAGATGGCTGCTCACAAGTACTGTTTGAGGAACGAGTGGGTACGCGAAAACTGGGTGGAAAGTGACAGAAATAGAAGCTTATCCCTTTAGAAGCCCTAGAAAAGCCGTCCCCGGCTTATCGCTCGATCTACGAGATAACATCGAACGATAGCTTGTTGAAGAATCGGACGTCCACGTAGAGCTAGAAAATCCCCTTTTTGAATTTGATCGAGGTATTTTTCTTGAAAAATTAACGAGGGTTTTCACCACTGCAGAAGACAGCTGCCAGTAAGTAAGAGGTGTATTAGAGCGCATGGCCACCATAAAATCTCACATTGTCTCTCCCAAAAGTAAAAACCTCAAAAAAGGTCATAAGCCGAAAATGAGTGGTGACTGATGTTAATGAGCTTTTACGCCAAATAGCTCACCAAAATTTGGACCAAATTTTCCAGAACTTTCTGGAAGATAAAAAAAACCGCTTTTGAAGCCAGACACCGGAAGAAAGCGAACGCAATCTAGCCAAGCGAGATTATTAGAAAGAGAATTAGCGTTGAACGCACAAGACTGTGAGTAATGAGCTGCATTCACGTAAAGAACAGCTGCCTAACATTCCACAGCGACAGCCATTATGTAAACCGATCAGACACGAACAATAGGAGGAAGTGAATGCAGAATTTCAAGTTTGATTGTGACGCAGCCGTGTTGATTAACAGCGGACAGAAATCAGCTGGCAAAATGAGATTGTCTTATCTCACTAAAACATGAATCTTAAGCAGAAAAGCAAAGCATTTATTCATTTGTCACAATCCAGAGCCAAGAACTCCAGCTTCTACCTAGACTACCTGATTTCCGCCTTCTTGTCTTCAAGAAATTGTAGGAAGGATGAAAAATTTGCTAGCCAGGTAGGAGGCGGCTAGTGCGAATATGAGTTCATGGGCGATTTACGGCTGTGAAATTTTCACCGTAAAAGCAATCTAATATTAGATGACGAATGCTTTGAGCAAGAAATTTATTCATGGAAGCGCATAATAATCATTATATATGAAAAGGCAATAATCGATTCTCAGCGACTTGTGATTTTTCATTACTGGGAAGTTGTAGCCATTGGTAAGTCTTTTATAAACGGCCATTTACATCGGCTTTTTTGAGCTATATCTAACAGCAGGGTGATGCGCTATTTCCTCATGCATTTCAGCCGATCCAGTTCCTAATCTAATATGTGCAAGTACACAAAACATTCACATTACTAAAGGCCCTACTAGAGATCAGTGACCACGAGGACGCATTCAGGGCCCGGCATGAGTCCGTTTTCTAGGCTTTCTGAAAACGAAATGCCCCTTGAGTTTCTCTAAATTTAACGAAGTCCCCTTTGATCCCAAACCATATCTGTAAAAAACCCGAAACGTCGACTAAAAAAAACGTCGCAATTCTTTTCGGCCATAAAAAATATCCCCTTTGCGTTTTTGCTCCAAAAACGAAGTTCAGCACATTTCCATACGATCTGCGCCGAACCCTGGACGCATTCCTTCCAGTAATTGCATTACTGCGTCTTTTTCTTAGTCTTGTTGTTATACATTACGAGAAAAGATTTCAACGAACATACAGCAAAACAGCCAACAACATAACCAATTTTGAACGATGGATGAGATGGTGAGTGCATTTGCACATGCTGAATTATAAAAAGAGTCGACTGTACTTTCTTGTTTTTGAAGTAAAAAAAACTGGAGTGTACTGTGAAAATTATAATTCTGCCCCTTTTCCGATACTCACACACCTTATTAATCTAACAAAAAATGAAACTTGTAAGTCGTAAAGAAATTATTCGACAATAGGCTTGGAGGACGCAGCCACAGAACTATTCTATAGCTAGAAATGGAAATGGAAAGCATATTAACAAATGCCAAATGAATGAGTCTTCTAAGCTGGGAGATACCAAGCAGAGCGGGCGGAGGCAAATGGTGATTTCTAGAGTTATACCAAGAAATTGCAGACTCAGAGGCGCATGACTCTGAGCCATACTCAACCTTGATGCTAGAAAAACCTAACAGCTGTTGAGAGGCCAATTCAGCGAAAAAACGGCCTTCCGCTGGTATGCGTTTTTGAGGAAGGAAAATTTCTTTGTAAACATAAGGAGTTCGTGCGAGGGGCCATCTCACGTGCGCTGACAATTGTACAATGCGCTTGTCAAGGGAGGGAAGTGTTCTTCAAATTATATTTCAACTTTTTCCAAATTCAAGAAGACACTTGATGGAACAATGAACTATTTTTGCAGGAAAAGATGAGTAGGTGCTGAGGTTTTTAAAGACAAAAGATGATTACAGCAGTTGGCTTTGTCAGTAAAGAGTTTCTGAAATGATTGGAATGCAGCGACTGACGAACTAGAATAGAAGTCCATAGCAAAAGAAAGAGATGGACTACGATATCCGAAATTTGTTGAAAGTAATTTGCAATTTCTTGGAAAACTGCATTTTCTAGATGCGATATGGATGTATGCGAAACCGTCAGCTTGCTGTCTGGACTTCAGACTAGAGAAAACTCGAACCACTCATATTCACCTAGCGATTCTGCTCCTATATATGGAATTCTAAGCTGCCGAGGCTCCTCCCTTTGTCACGCCCAGTAATTGCTACAATTCCGATGACGAGGAATGAGCGCATAAGCCAAATCTCGTGAATTATCAAGTAAGAAATAAGAACCAGTTCTAGATGTTAGCATTGGCTATATAATGCACATAAACACCCACTTTCTCTACATGTGATTCATCAGGAAGTGTACTCAGCCGCACCCAAGGAAACCTACACCGAAAGATGTCAACTCTGCTACTTATCTACCCACTCGAAATTTCCGCCAGAAGTAAAGCAAATCTTCTTAAAGCGGAGCACTTCCTTGCAAAAATGCAAGAAAAATAGAAAAATGAATCATTCAAGAAAGTGTAAAAAAGCTATCATTTCCTGGATGATCTGCTACCCGATTTTTCTGTATTTTTTAGTTGCATCAAACGACTGATAACAGATACTGTATTACCGTGTTGTTCACTAACACAGTCATGTACACACTGTGAAACTTGATAGAACTTTAGCAGATGTTTGTGATGATGCAGGCGAAATTTTGTATTTCCTGGTTTGAGAATAGTTTCCGAATACGAAAAGCAATTGCATGTCTTACATCCGATGACTTGTTTAAAAGATTTTTGTAGATTTTCGCTAGCAAATAAAAGTGCAAAAATTACCATCATTTGAGATATCAATGACAGAGATGAACGTTGCTAAAAATTCAGACAGCATAGTTGATGCCGTTGGGATCCAAATAATGAAATTTGCTTTGCAAAGCAAATTCGATTCCAAAAATAGCATCATTAGTAAGGTCACACGATCATAAAAAGTGGTTAAAAATTTCAAAACCAAAGGAACATTACTGCTCGCATTTTACACTTGGCCGCAGAATTACAGCTGATTGTGAGAAATTTTGCGCCACTAGCCCCACTCCCCTTTTGCTCGTAAAACTTGGAAAATTTACGCAGCTTCGTGATTGATCTGTGACAGAGATTCCGAGAGATATAGATGACCATTTGAATCGAAAGAAAAGAAGATTCTTATCGAGCAGGTAATCGCGGCAGAGGTAGACATCCAACTGTTCCGGCGGAAGCCGATAACAGTTGTCAGCTATCATTTCTCGAAAAAGACGAAAAGGAATGTGCCGAAAACACTAATCAAAGCGATTTTGACAGTTCGTAAAACTCTACTTAGAAAACCTGCCATCAAAAATTATCGATTACTGAAAGAGAGGAGACAAGAGGTTCCATGGGTTAAAGGAGAAGTTGCTTGAAAGGGGGCGCACAGAAGCGCGGTAAAGGAGCGACTGGTAGGATACTGAGCCATTGGAAGCAACGATAAACAGCTGACCCTGTGATGCAAGCAATGTTTGCATCCAAATATTCGTGAAAAAAGCCTTTACCAGCCCTGCAAATCATGGTGTGAAGTTATGGCCAGCAAGTGTCGAACATAAAAAGATCAGCATTGGCGAATCTTTCACATCGATGAACATTTGCACTTAAGCGTTGCCCTAACCGAAACAGAAAATTATGTCACGTCTTTCCAAAACCAGCAATCCTATCTTCCCTCAAATATAGCCAAAGTCATGCCAGTTGTGAAACCAGTAACGATAATTTTCACTAACCGCATCAGGAAGAATCGTTTGTGGGGCTGCGGAAGGTGATGATAAGAAATCATTAGTGGTAGCTTCCGGAATGATGGTGCCGTTTGTAGCCCCATTCTTCTGCACCTGAGTGATCAACAGCGAGGGATTGCGAGGGATAGCCGCTTTCTCTGAAATAAGAAAACTATAAATTAGTCATTCATTGATTCAATACAGACCCGTGATTTCTTGATAACAAGAACGAATGAAGAGACCGTTTAACTGGTCATATGACGACCAAGATGACAGACAATGTAGCACAGGTTTTTATTTGTATTGTCTTTTGGACATCATTGAAGTCTCACATTTGAAAATGTTTGAAAATGGAGTAAGAATCTCATTACATTTGCTGAACTCGTAGAGACGAAGAAATTTAGCATTATACCGTACTAATCCAACCAAAACCGTCTTTCTAACCACAACGAAGAAATGCGAGATTATTGCTCAATGAAAGACTTTGCAAACTTTGTCACTACATACCTAATTTTGCTTTACTTGCATTATACACACATATACAAATCAAATGATTAGAAATTGTAAACACTGGTGCTCGTCGAGACTTCGATTACATTTAGTAATGCCTAATTCGACGAAATGTACTATGACTGAGGAAGTTCAGAGCTTTCAGAAAAATCCTCAAGATTCCACTTTGTTTGATTCCCAAGGTCTCAATCAAGCATTATTAGATTATAGGAGCAAAACAGAGTTTGGCTAGTGTTTTCATTGTCTTTAGAAATTGCAATGTCATATGTTTATGAGACCCTTTTATGATTTGATATCCACTATCAACCCACGCCCGTTCTACAAATGAAAATCTGGAGGTATACAAAAATATAGGATCTATCGTGCAATATGCCAGAAATGGCAATTGAATTTTAGTGGCGATATTAGATGGTTACGGTTCACTCTGCTGCAGCAATTTGTTTTTCGGTAAAAAAACTATTATTTCTGACAACTATGTGTTGCTTTGAACGTATATACCTTTAGCAACTATATTATTTTCTTAGTAATGGAGGGAGGAATCTGGCCCACGCATGCCCAATATGCCAGGTTTTTGTTCTAGTCATTTCATCTAATAAAACAGTTGACAAAAAGAGCGACAGTGAATTCAACACCCAAAGAACGAGCTCATGGATTCTCGATCTTTATAATTTTTGCTAATCGCTGTACACCTCAAATTGCGTTTGATCGTTCTGTTTTGCCACCTACAGATGTCAAGGTGGAACGATTGGTATAGGTAAAGTTGGACTCCATTTTGAACAAGACCTTTCATGCACCATCATTGACATCGCTTACAGTTATCCCCTTCAAAGAAAAACAAAATTCTATTCTGCCGAAATCCCAAAATTCCTTTATTCAAATAATGAAACTCGCGACCGCATTGAAATATACATGGCCGGAGATCATTTAAAAAATGTCAAATGGAATAGAAACGTGTCGTGATACGTGGCAGCCATCGTAATGAATTGAGGTTCAACGCTTTCTTGGAGCCCACGATCGCAGATTCTCATGTTGGGAGATTTTATTTGACGGAACGTTCAAGAATTCAGAGAAACGATAGTCTATTAAACCAGTTAGAGTCCAAAGTGAGATGAAGAACTGAGCTTTGACACCCGGTTTTCAATGAACTTGTTGAAAAGATATTCTTGTACTTCATGTTTTCATGATGATTTCAGCAATAGTCATGGTGAGAATGACACGAATCGGTCACCGATATCATAATTTTCAACCCTCAAAAAATGAAAAAGAACCTTGAGCAGAATTCCCGAATAAGGCATTGTTGTAGATGAGCCTACCCAAATCATTCGCTGTGCACTTAATCCCTAAACAAGGGATACCCTTTACTTCATATGTCTGTGAAAGATAAAGAAAACCAAAATCCTTGGTTCAGAGGGTATTTTTGCCTGGGTCTTCAAGTGTAGAAAGGCCAACCAGAGAACGTGATTTTGTTAGTCGTCAATTTTTAAACATCTATCAAAAATGGTACTTCTCAAAAACCGTTCAGGTAGCACTTCTCCGGTAGGATTTTTTCTATATACGCTCCTTTTATGTCTGGAGTTCATGGGTATTTCCTTTCGTATATTAAAAAATCCCCTTGATCTAACAACTCTGGAATATCATGACTGAAGAGTGCTACCTCACCATTTATTCTGTTGTGAACAAGAGAAAAATCATAAATGTAATATTCTATTTTAATTTTTATTTTTGTTTCTTACACCCATGGGACACCAGGAAAAAGTACAGTCAAAATCAAACACAAACAAGAATCACTAGCTAGATATGATATCGTCCTGTCCCCATACTCTGTATGAGATAATTTTGACAATTTTGAATCCGCACATGGCATTTTTTCTGATTACGATGACGTATGAACGTGACGATTGATGGACCATTGTTGATTAATGCACTTCATCTGGCTTTTTCACTGTATCACAACACCAGTACGTCACATACGGCCTAACAGCCAATCGAAACTGCTCAACCTTCACACTCCATTACAAATTACTCACCTTCAAAAGCTGTGGGTGGGAAAGAAAGACGTTTATATAGGATGCGCGCTTTTTGCATCACAAGTTTGCGAAGCTTGGCGCTGCCTACATACATCGCGCTGTCGATACACAGGATGGCGCAAAATACACTCTTTTGAAAAGCTTTCATGATGCACTCTAATTGTTGAAAGGACCATTCTTCATAAAAACCCCGAAATGCTGGAAAACACGCGCCCGATGACGTGACGCATCGGCAGTGGCAGCCAAGCCACAAACAACGCACACACCAGCAGTATTCTCGCTGGCAAAAGAGAAATCGCGGCAAGTTTGTTGACATTTGTCTGGAATGTCGAGCGCGGGTGAGGCGCTGAATAAATAGGAAACACAAATCGAGGTATTTGCAACGAATCGCCTCTCAATACTCGAAAAAAGAACGCCGAGCGCCGTCGAGTGCGAGTAGTCGATCAAGTGCCGTAGATGAACTTCGTGGCTGACACACGAACCTGGCATTGAGGGTAACTTGGTTGAGTCATCAAGGCATTGAATGTTGCTCTATCGGGGGGGGGGGGGGGGTGAAGGGGAGACTGCCTTTGCTTGTGTGTTGAGAGCGATGTTGCCAAGAGGGAAATGGGATGGGAGACAATAGCCATGGGAGACAATAGCTAAGCAGAAACGACATCGTTCTTACCAGTTTTTATATCTTTCATTAACTCTCGACGGCAAATCCCGCTCAAGCTGATATCCTCTATTTCACCTTTGATTTGCAAATATTGATGAGACGAACGTACTGCATCGAAATTTTAAAAATATAATTCTCATCTTTGAGATATTTGCATGGCTATGAACAGCCAAAATTATTTGCTTGATGGCACCTGCAGTAAGACACTGGCATATTGGACAAATCCAAACTGAACAAAAGATATTACTACTCTCAAATCTTGTTTTGGGTCCAACAAAACTGTGGGAAATTGCAACGAAAGGCAGCCGACACCAATGTAGGTGGTAAAGTACTCTTTGTGTTGGTCACTTATCCATAAAAAGCACGATTTTCAAGAGAATCCAAAAAATGCATCTTGGAGACATCTGCGGTACATACGTATACAATAAATGTAATAAATTTTGTATAATGGATTATGAAACTCATGACGTACTTTTTCGACCCCTTTGATAGAGAAAAACTTCAGAGGTACAGGATTTGTGGACTACAAAAGCTGAGTTGAAAAAAGTAAGCGCTTTATAAGCATAGCAATAGAAACAGGAGCACGCTGCAAAATATAGTCCCTAAGCATATTATATGTTCCTTTGTTCTCCTCATATTTCACTGGATGCGAGTGGAAAGCACCCGAAAACAGATCATATTTCAACTGAAAAAAGCGATAACACCAACATATAAAAAAGAGTTTGAAGCGCGAAGACTCTCTCCTTTATCATATACAAAAATGATTAAAAAATACTGGAAGAGATTAGGACCAAATTTGATAAGATGCAGCTCTTCTACTTCTCGTTAGAGTTCATTTACTCCTATTCAACCATTTTCAACTCTAAGGTATATTATCTGTCTTCTACATTCAAAGTGTAAGAATATGGTGCTCATGGCTCATAACACTGCCGTAAAAAATTGTAATGGATTCCGACTACATTTGCTGCAAATTCCACTCTCCGCGGACACTCTTTACGCGCAAAAACTGTAGGCACCGCGAAGGCTTAGATTAGCCGCCAAATCACACTGTAAAACTCTTCTTGTAGTGTTCTTAATTCTTATTCGTTCCTCTAATTATTCTCAGCTCAAATAATGAGCGCTTGTGGTACATTCATAGGCTGACAAGACCAACATTCAATGGAGGGCAAAAAATCACTCACATGTTCGCCACGGAACTTCCTTATCCAATAAACATTTTCCGCATATGGACTTTTCGCCATTGTGTGAGAATGACTATTTCGTAACATTGATAACGACTTTGCAAACGCTTCAAAAGACAGCTAAGACGTTCTTTGAAGCCCCTTGAGTGACACAGCAACAATGGCTAGATGATGAATGAGCTATTTCAAAAGGCATCATGTTGCGAAAGATTGCAAAGATGACAAAAGAAGATATACAGCGCTGTCATAATGCCAGGAAGCTGGATGATGCTATCTTGTCTTAGTTTACGAAGAGATTTTTGGCAAGGGATTGCTCACATAAATTTAAAAAATCTGAAGGCGAACCAGATAAAAAAAACGGCTGCTGTCAATCTCGAATTTTCGTGCCACATGGACCAAATTAATGTCACAAATATTTGTTTTTTACAGGAAGCAACTGTAACCCAAAACAAACCTATACCATTAGTAAGTTACGAGAAAAAGAGATGAAAAGCTGCGATGTCAAATAACTAGCAAAGCTGCTCCATTTCACTGGTGCCATGCTGGTCTGCAAATCTCAACGGTTTCGTTTTTTTTCAAGAAGAATCTATAGCTGTTGCGTCAAATTTCACCGGAATTCGCTGAGACAGACAATGACATCATTGCAGACTCTGACGCTTTTACTAATGTATTCAATGGTTGCAGTTCTATTTATAGTCTAAACTAAAATGGGAAGAATCGTCAACTGTACTGGGCTACTCGTAGACTAGAACCGAGCTGAACAGTAAACTTTTTTCTGAAAATCTGCAGGCTGTCATCAAAAGAAAGTTATCAAAGTGTAATAGATAACTAAGGTCGCAAAATACACGGGAGCACGTGCTACTGATATTTCCCATCAAATTTGAAAACACAAGTATTAGTTTTCCAGAAAATTTTTTGAAAAGTATCATATAGCCTCTTACTCAATACCGATACTTTGTTTGTTAAGCATCCTTTTGAAACAACCCGAAGTGCAAACATTTGCGACAAACATTGATTATGTTCACAAGAGCTATGAATTCTTCCTGCACATCTAAGTCAAAGCAGATTATGAAGCAATTTTCCGAAATTAAGATCAAAGGTTTCATCATTCAAACGAGATCGGCTATATTTGGTTCTCAGGTTTTGAAGGTAGAGCATGCCAATTTGCTTGCTGTTCTTGAATTATGGGTATTCTTGTCCTCTCTTTAGAATCAAAATTATCAATCTAATATATAAAAAATCGTAATCTGCATTCAAAAATCATCAGATGGCGGGAAACCGAGTGGAACCCGAAACGAGCGCGCCTGCAATCTAGCACCTTCGAAATTACTGGTTCAATAGTCTTTGTGGGTGAATTTCACACTTTATCCATTCTTACCCACATGAAAAAATTCCGTAACCCACCCCTCAGAAACAAAACAACTCCACCAAGGGGATCTTCTGCATGACTTGTTTGACTCTACAGAAAACTAAGACGAACAAAGTATACCTAGAACTTCTTATCTGACATAATTCCTCGAATTTTCTTTGATAATAAGAAAGAATACATGTCTCCAAGAGCACCTTTGCACGTCGAGATGTTCAACATAAAGGTTATTACCAATGCTGCACGTAAATTTCTTTCATAAAAATAGCTGTCTCAAAATCGAATTTTTGTAGTCTCCAGAACACTAAAAGTTCTGCATTCCTTCACATGAGCGATACCGTCCATATAACTCGATATTTGACTTCAAATAGTTTATGTTGATGCCAAGTGCATAATATATCGAGATTCAGCTGTTGCGGGGGTGTTTGCATATAAGTGAATTCGATATGAATTCATGGCTACTGAGTATTGTAAGAAACAACACATTGTAATAGAAACACTGATAGTTTCTCTTACGATTTTTTGTGCAAAAAAGCAGAGTGCACTATCGCTCAACATCTGTAACCGCTACAAAAACAATCGCAGAGTCAGAGTGTAAACAAGGAATAAGAAAGAAGACGTTCTCGAAATATCCATAAATACATAAAATAGCACAGCTAGTAATCAGTAATCATCCTACAGAGAAATTTAGGTTTTAAATTGGCTGCATTTGGGCTCATTCCAAGAAAATACGACAAAAATTAAAGCCTCAATTGCTGAACATTATATGTTCAAATATTGCTGATAAAACATAAATATTCGTATAAACCGTTAGAAGAACTATCCTACAACAAATGTTCCATGTATTTTTCCTTCGCCAGCCTTACAATGAAGATTACGCCCAGACTTTGCAGTAAAGTTGTAGAAAAAATGATCTTTGGCAAAAAAAGGAAAGATCTGGCAGTTGTCTGCAGTAATACCACGAAGAGTGTGTAGAAATTCCATTCGTTCGAATTATCACAGAAACTATAAATTTTGCAAAAATAAAAAATAAAAGAGGCTCACCGATCTCCGCCTGCGGAGCAACACAGCAACATAGACTCTGCACAAATCTGCCCCATCGCGGTTTTTGCCGGGCTGGCCGTTTCTCGCCTGAAATTGTAACATATTATTACCAAAATTGCAAAACTTTGTAGGAAATAGGGAAATCTCTGCACATCCTCACTCTCTTTCATGCCGAGAATTGCACACAAAATCAATTCTCTCAAAAAAATTCATGTAAATATTTGACTGCTCTTTGAAAGGCCTCTATCTTAATGAAAGTCGCACACTTATAGCCTTTTTGTGAAATTAAAATAATATTAAAAGCACGAGCGGGTTCAACAAAGAAATCATGCCGTAACTTTCTCCAAAATATTAATCTATGCTAAAAAACAGTCAACAACAATCCACTAAATAGAAAAAAAAAACAGTGATGGTGGGAGTATTTGGGCATAGAGATGCATCCGAGCAATTGATCAAAAATAATGAATCTTCCTAAAAAAAAGAGCACGTAGACATGCATTCATTATCAACGTACGTGCTATCCAGCTATTCAATCCCGTAATCGTCATTTCTTTTTGACAATGCGATATGTTTCTTTGTCTGTTTCAAGAATATAAAAAAGGGGGAAAAAAGTTGCGATCCCAATGATGCAGGTGCCGATAATTGCTATGAATAGTTCAATTTGATGGCCACTTACCAGAGACTGGAATAGCCGAGGGAAAATTCTTGGGCGGTGTGCTTCTCAGCTCCCTCAGTGCTTCAGTCTGAACGGACCAAATAAGCGGCTCGGCCCGCTTCGGTGCTGTGATCTCAGTCCGCTGGTTCGAGCTCTTCGTCTGCGCAGCTTGCTTGGAATTTCCATTGGCGTAAGCAGATGATGGTCGATTTTCCTCTTTCGGAATGGCGGTCGTTGGCACATTGTGATAGACAGGAATAGTAGACGAAAGCGTCGGTGTGCGCGGCTTGATCTGAGCTGGCTGCGGAGGAATCGACAGTGGAAACGGCGACGGTCGTTGCGATCGCGGCTTTTGTTGCGCGTAGATACTGTCCATACCGTAATAGGGATTCGAGGATGGGTTCCAGTAGTAGGTCACGCCCTGCTGATCTTTGGCCTTTTGCCAATAGTCCAGGTTGTTCTTTGGACCAAGCGGACTACGGAACGGAACCGATGTCGTCTGTCGGAAGCCGTTCATCGCTGGGGATCGTCGGCGGCCGTCCATGGATTCAGCGAATGTCATCTACGGTAGCGGAGCGGTAGATCAGCTGCGATCGAGTGTAGATCGCGGAGAGCGTGACCTCCGCCGACGCGCCGCAATCCGGGCGCTGCTCCGGAAGTGAACTGGCTGAGCAAACAGATCAACCGGTAGTCGTCGACGGCGGAGTGCGGCAGCTCAACGACGGCAGCAACACGGTCGTGGATCGATGGCGATCGATTATCGATCGGCCAACATGCGAGAACGTAGCGGAAACGGGACGTGCAGCAGAAGGCGGTTTTCTGGAACGTGATGGGTCGAGAGCGATGGTTGATAGCAGCAAATGTGCGGATCGAGCGAGGCGACGGACACAAAACAGAGCCAGCTGACGAGCCGCGAGGGCATGACTCAACGGAAGAGGCTCGGCGAGTCCGCGGCAGCGCCGAAAACAGCTGGCGACGCCGCGACTCCCCGCTTCTCAAAGCGCTTGAGTTATGGCCTGCAGGTGCATTCGTACGCACCTCACGTGGATGAAGACGAAGTGTGAGAAAAGAGAAGAACGAGCATTACGAAAAGAATGAGGTGTAAACTACACTCGATCAACATCTAACACATGAATTCATTTTGTGTCTGAAACTAGTTCGTTATCGAACGGTTTGGTTATGATCGGCAAAAAACGCCTGTTGCGAAAGAGTCTAGAACTATTTGCATTCACAAAATTCCTCATTACAGATAAGCCCGTAAAAAACGAAAAAACGCTTAATCTTTTTGCAATAGTTACTGATACAGCTGTCCTATCCCTCCACAAACAGAATCTACAAAGTTCAACGACCACATAATCGGGGTCCTCGTTATAGAGGGTTAAGCGTCAAGGGAGCAGACCGGAAACCACACAATAACACAGCATGGGGCACAACCTCGTTTGAATGTGTTGTGCTACATGAGCCAGTTGTTGACTTTTGGAGATTTTGAAGTCCACATGTTTGGACTCTAGGACGAAAAAAACATTTTTGTAGAGAGCTCACTTTTCCAAAAGGTGGGAAAGTGAGTTCTCTACAAAAATGTAGGATGACAGCAAAAATCAGTGGCTGTACAATTTGCCAATAAGCTCAAAAGATGTACGCAGTAAAAATCATTTTTGTAGCTAGGAAGAATGTCTCAAGATTGGGAAGAAAATTCAATAAATCCTGTAAAACTTTCTAATAATGCCTTTGCGGTGGCGACAACATTTGCGCGTAGTAAACGGCCCAAACGTCCAATTGTTGTAGTCGCCGCAAAAGCACTACTCGCACAATATGGAGCACATTTGCAAGTTTTGCAAATACGCCTCATCAAAGAGATCTACGGTAAAGCAAAAGCATTACTATGACCGTCATACCAGATATTAGGCTGAACCAACCTGTGCCTTCCCCCCCCTTTTTCTGGGCTACCACCTATAAACAAATATGTAGTTTCGGTAACGCAAAATACTATACGTAGTAAGTGTTGAAGCCGATAGTATACGCCGCTTTATGTCTGCTAGAAACTTGAGCGATATATTTTCAGTACGAAGTGGCTGCACCTGTTGACAAATAGCTGATTGTGTGCGAATTCCCGAGCAATAGGCACAAGTTCCTAACGAACTTGCGCCATTGCTTTTGAGCTGTAGCGTCAACAAGCCGAAAGAGGTGCGGAATGTGAACGAAACCTGTGCCATGATTATTTACACATACACACACATGAGACGACTTCGGTTTGAGATTATCGCTAAAAAAGCCGCTTAGCTTATGCAAGAAATTCTGACACATCTAGCCCCTCATCCATTCCGATTCCCTGAGAAAACAGAGGTTACAGCATATTGGAACAATTTTCTCGTTGGCTGCAGACTCAGCAGCAGGGACTCGGCACAAGCAAGCAAATCAATGCAGAAGTACAAGAACGTGGGTCCGTCCGTGTGCTCTAATTCAAGATGAGCACATGTATTCAGCTTGACAGCCACAGCTCTTTTGTGTAAAATGCGCTGATTGCATGAGAAGATTCCAAATTTGGAGATTCTGAATGAAAATGTACGCAGCTGCAAAGTAATATAGAACAATTTGACATGAGTGCATGGCCCCAATCATGACGTGAGTTATATTATTAGAAGAAATTTTATAGCACTCTATGGACAAATCCCGGGGGAGTTGTTTCCAAAGTACATAAATGGAGCATGAAGTTAATGACTAGAAAACGCGGAGTGAGTTGTTAAGTGCTGTTCGAGAAAAAAAATCATAGTTTACATTTGTTATGCGATGGACAAAGCAAGATATACCTAATTGATCCTGAGACGGTTTTGAGCTTTTGAAAAGCACAATTTGATAATCAAATTAAGCTTTGATTGGGTGTTTGAACAGATATGGAGAATTATGCACTCGTGTCTATTGTGTCGTGTTTAGCCTATTTGATCCTTTAGAAAATGATGCTTTTCTCACAGAAAACGTTGATAGATAAAAAGTAAAATCGAGGAAGAGAAATGCATAAAGGTACGTAGCAGTGGTAATTGAAAAACTGCTTAAACACGGGCCGGGAAGAGGCTCAAAAATTTGAACTGAGGTCGAGCGTGACGAGCCCAAAGATAGATGAAATTATTGAGTCGTTATTGCATGAATTCTCCACCAAAATTTGGAAAAATTCATTTTGTGAATGCTGCGAAAACTTTCCAGGTCATGTTAACATTTTTTGAAGCGCCAGTAATTTCATTGAACACAATAGAAAGTTGAATTAGAAAATTTATTTGGATGCAAAAAAACAGTGCGTATGAAATGAAAGTATTCGTAGAGACATCCGATCAAAGGAGCTTTGTCTTTAGAAAGAGCAGTTCATGAAACCAGAATCGAGTTTGATATTCTTTTTCAGTTGGTCTTCTGGGAATTAGCGAGAAAAATTCAGAATAAAGCCTTTTGAGTATTTCCCTTAATTATCTGAAACGGCTGCCATATCAAATCTAATCGAATACATAAAAAATCATTAATTCGAAATTAGTGAGCAGCATGCCTCATAACCCCTTCTGCGCGAAATGAGCCCATGCTGAGAGGTTGAACTATCACCGTTTACTTACCGCAAATATAATCAAAAAGTTTCAGTACGCAGAATGAGTATGCTTTACTAATCAGTCTGGACTAAGCTGGGCACTAAATCCTAGCTGAATATGAGGTTTGCAAACATTGGGCTACCTAAGTGGTATGGTTATTCAAAAATAGTGAAGCCCACTGCGAAGATACATCAAGCCATTTTTATACATCTTCGAAGCGGAGCTGATTATGGTTGAAGGAGAAGGTGTTGGGGCACTTTGGTTATGGTAGCTCAGAAGAGAAGCAGCGGAGCATTGGGCACTCCTTCCACACAAACTTTAAAAGATATGATTTTCTTTGACCTGCGAGAGCTGGGAAGGTAAGGGCAGAAGAGAGAAAAGTTGGGTACTCAGCTTTGAGGTGAGAGACCTCTTTTGGAAAATGTAAGACCTTTGTAGATTTAAGAGTAAATGATTGCGGGGCTTCAAAATCTGAAAATGTAGATGACAGGAAACTTGGGCGCTTTGGCTAGATCAGCTTTGGGCAGGTAAAAGTTTAGAGCCATCGTTCTCTATGCTCTTATATAGGAGACCTGAAAGAAGAATTTGGGTACTCTTGCTGGAAAGCCTCAGGAAGGCGGGTTTTGCCGCTTTGGAGAGGAGACACTGAGGGAGCAAGACAGCGAGAGACTAAAAGTGGGAACCATGTAAACCAAAGACACTTGGTCAAGAAAGTCCTAGAGGAAGTAGATGCGGCCCTTAGCTGCGAAGACCTCCGCGGGAAGGATTTCGAAGTTGCGACAAGCAAAAGCTGAGGGGGGGGGGTAAGAACCGGCGAGATCAAATCAGGAAGGAAGAGGAAGTGGCCACAGTGGAGCTCAAGGCTTTCTACTCAGAAGAGAGGGAGGAAACTTTAAGCATCCTAGCCCTAAAAAATGGATTTCGTTGCTTTCGCATGCTACAACAGCTTTGGTCAGAAAGAAGGAACGGGCACCGTGAAACTCAGCGCTCTCATTTGAAAAAGATTGGTAGGGGGAAAATTCGGGTTCTTTGGCCAGGAGACTCACGGAGAAGGGCTCTATCATGGGAACTTTGAGGTACTAAAATAGCGAAAGAGTTGGGTCCTGATAGCGCCCTTAGGAGAGAAGAGAAAGAGGGGAGCGAGGGTAAGGGAGGGGAATTTTAGTCACTCCGGCCATGAAAAAACCGGCTAATGGATTTCGGTGTTTTCGCGTCCCATGGAGAAGAGCCTGAGCTCTAACATGGGAACCCTTAAATAGTAAAATAGCGAAAAGAACTGGCAGGACACGGCGCTTAGGAGAGTATTCTGGAGAGGAGGGAGGGGGGGGGGGGGGGGGGAGGAATATATTTCGCCGAAAGGAGTGGCCCTTTGCGGCATCTGCAACAAATGCGCACCTCTCAAACACGCAAAAAGTAATCGTTGCAGATGTCCGCATAGGAGATTCCTTTCGGCGACTACGGTCTTCTACCCATTTTAATTGGGGTTAGGATATCTGACTCATAGATAGATTTGAGGAATGATTTTGGTGCTTCCGCATGAACTGGCTACAGCAGCTTTGGGCCGGGAGAACAATGGAAAACGTGGAAGTCTTGGCATGCAGTACACAAAATCGCGTGGGTTCACTAGTGATAGCAAATTTTGAGCACTTCTTAAAAAAGCAAGATTTTCTTTCTATAATCTGTGTCGAAACAAAGAATTTTGTCGTTGAAAGAGATTAGAAACTCTCAGAAATTTGGTGCAAAACTTCATAATAACCCTGATATATCATTATGGTAAGGAATAAAATGAAGGAAGACTGCAGACAGACTTGGCGTCGTGCCAAAAGTACTTCTTTCCAGTCAAGCAATACATAATTTATCTCGTAGCAACTACGAGCTCTAAAAGAGCCAGAAATAGCGCAAAAGACGTTGTAAGACCTAAACCTCAGAATAACTATATTTAAGTTTCCATATGGGATTTGGGACCGAGCTAAGCCGCAAAGTCGCGCCGTCTCATGATCAAGATAGTTTTCGCGCTTAACGGATAATAAATGGCGCTCTGTGTCCACAAATGATATCATAGCGACAGAGATCGTAGCGCTGGAATCATGTCACGCAAAAATTCAACAAAAACACTGCAAATTACGGCTATGCAAATAAATATGCAAAATAAAATTCTGGTACATTGCGTCATGCAGTGCTTCAATTGTGTTT